ATATGATAATAACGCATGTGATGCTAAGGGTAAAATGTGCTGCATAAATTAATTAAAAAACAAGAGCATAATGTGTAAGTGAGTATATCCCAACAGAAGGCATGCATATATTTCTAATTGGTGATAATGTGACCTGGTAACCGGCATATGTATAGTTATAATGTATATTCTTTGTATTTATATGTACATACATAATTGAATATGATATAAATTTAAAAATATATCTACCCCGTTAGGGGTAAAAAATTATTAACCGTTTTGAATAAGCTATAGGAAACCCTGAATTAATTTGCATGAAATATGTATTTTATACCTACTGTAATTCAAAGATTTAGTATAAGTATAAAGTATAAAAAAAACATTTATTTAATTGAAATGTTATATTTTCGTTTGTCGATGTAAATGCGACACCATAATTTTCTGTTTCGCTTATTGGACCGTGACAGAAACACATAAATAGCAATAAGAGGCCTACGAAATTTTTGATATAAAATGAATTATCTCTTCTTATCTCCTTCCATGCTTTTCGTTATTGCTCAGTGAGTCCCGTTTCGCCACATTATTAAGCAGTTTTATACCTTCTCCTCTTCTCCGCTGTATTTTTTTCCAAGACAAATTAAAAAAGATATTACATCCCCTAAAGATAAACGTTTATGTCTGAATAAAAATCTTTATTCCTAAGATATGTGTACTAAAATGTGTTTATTTTTGTCATTTGACAAATTTATTTTGTGAGTTACGATCCGGAATAGACGGTATAAGTATATGGAATTGTAAAAAGACGAATTACTGATTTTATTAAAAATTTTATTCTCAGAGTTTTATGAATTCTAATTGAATTGGAACGCTCGTACTAAAGGAAAACGATTTATGAGCAAATACTTTTATTTTAACAAAATGTTACGAATGCTTAGAGTTCTTACAAATGTTTGCAAATAATTCGATTGTTCTATTTTTGAATGAATTTTTGAATGCGAAAAATTAAATGAACGATACGAAAAAAATCTTTAATTACGCAGGCAAATTGAAGATGGTCAAAACGCCAAATATCGAAGAAAAACGAAATTGAAATTTTCTCTTACCTTCGTCGCTATCCGCCCATCGGGCGCTTTAAATTGTTGGCTGCGGATAAATAATGAAATCTTCCGGCTTCCGGAACTTTTAAAATATTTTCAACTTTGCTTAAGAGATGGATTAAGGGAGATTTATGAAGTAATGACTAGGTAAACAATTCGCCCCGTCTGTAAACTCCTTTCGCCCGGAAAGTTATTTTGTCGAAACCGAATGTTTTTCGGAAAATTTAAAACAATGAGAATTCGAATTAGAGCGAATTATCTTGCGAAAATATTACGCCTGGAAAACGAATGGAAAAGTTCGCTGGAAGTAATTTCCGTTGAATTAGGAGGGATATTAGGACTTTCCGTTCTCACTATTGCTACACATACAAAACTCGTAGTACATATATTTCTTCTATACAGGGTGTTTTGTGAGCTTGATGTAATTCTAAATTGTAAATTGCCTCATCTTTATACACACATGTGTATTTTTTGTCAAATTATTTCTCACAAACAGATTATTTTTTATTAGTTAAGAATAAAAAATTAAATAAAGTGGTTGGTTGTGAAAATATGTACATTAGGAATAAGTGTTTCCGATACTTATTCAAACATATTTTATTAGATGAAAATTGCTGTTTGTTGTAAGTCGGTCCTGGATTTTGTAAATTTTCCTCTAAAATTACAATGCCTTAATTAATGTACATCAGTGACCTAAATTAAAAAATATTTCAGCACAAAATCGGTGAAATCTGAAACTCGTAAAACAAATTAAGAACTTATAATTTTAGTAGCAAAATAATCTGCGGAAAAATGAGATTACAATGAACAAATTAAACTTTTTCAGCTTTTTTCCAGTTAGAAAACGAATTTGAAAAATTTTACTCTGGTAGGATATTGTTTAGAGGAAAGAGGAATTTTTTAGTAAGCCAAATATGGATTTTTGGAATGAAATATCCTATATGAAAGAAAAAAAATACAGAAAATTCCTATTAAACAGTAATAACTTTCTCTTGCGGAAAGTTTTTATTGAATTTGTTGGTGACACTCTTATTATTGACCTGTGATCTACGGAAAGGACCAACAGACGTTTATTGGCCATTTGGATAATTAATGCCTGGAAATAAAGATGTAATAAATCTCTTAAATAACTGCCTAATGTGACTGTTTCATTATAGCAGGTTATACTTCCTTAGCTCTCTCTGATCCACTATAATCTTCTCGAATAAAAAAAATAATTTGCCAAGAAGAGATTTATTTTGTTGACCTAATCAAGTCGGAATAATTTATACAGGATGACTAATAAATGTAGGGTTTATACCTACCGGGTGATAATATTAAAGTTGACAATTCTCCTGTTGATAATTAAACTCACGGGCGTTTACTTTTAATGCTTTGGTGCTAAAAGGATACAGGAGGCTCCTTATATTTCTACTTTTCCATTTATAGCATTTTATTCGTCTAAAAGAGGATTAAATAGAATTGGAGAGAATATTATGACTTAAATACTGAAAAATATTCTCCCTGAATTTAGGCAACACAAGTTACTATGACGTCATTAACCTAATATATTACGGAAACATACTAAACACACATTATAATCTACCTAACGATTATTGTAAAAAAAATATGTGTTATGAGAGCCATTTATCTTATTTAGTGCATCAATAAAAAATAACGATTGGACACTTCTGAGTGGTCAAAAGCTCTATAAATTATAGCGCGGGTTTGTGCGAGATTCGAATTCGAGTTTTAATTTGATTTCGCTTCACGCATATCACGTATTTTTTGGGAACGTATTGGACTTATCCAGATATTCGTGACCGGCGGTCATTAATTTTGTATTATACGCTTTCCAGCACCACCTGAAACATTATTGCCGAAATAAAACCCCTCGTTTGTTTGCCAGTTACACACATTATTAATTCTCTGTTTAATGCCTCCATAAAACCAATAATTTTAAGTCAACACAATTACGATTTTTGTTATGATTTAATTTTGAAATTTCTGCTATAAGAACGCGACGTTTCCAGCCGAACTTGAGCTTATTAATGTTCCAAATTTTCTAACCTAAACAGCCAATTATTTTTTTACGAATCTGTGTATAAATATTATGCCCATGAGTTCTTTCGCCAATTAATATACTTGGAACATTTCTAATAATTTTCCAGAGTTGTTTTTTTATTTAATTTGTCCTCTGGAAGTAAAAGGAAAATTCATCTCTATAAGCTTATTTTTGGAAGTTACTGTCGATATAGAATCGATAGAAAAGCAAGACGAGTGAGGAAAATTGCTTGTCAGCTTAAATTACCACCTTGTGGAAGTATTTGATGTTAAAAATATAAGTCGTTGGAAAACACCGTGCACATGATAAATTCCCCAGGAGTTTCGTATTTTTTGTGAACAGACTGAACCTGCATTTTGTAAACATTACTCGGCTCTATTTGATTTTTTTCTAGTCGAATTTAATCTTTCGGGGACTTGTTATTAATATTTGACTCTATAAATTGACTCTATCGAATGCTTAAATGACTCTTGCTAGATTATTGACTCACAAATTACACTCTTGGCTAGGTAAATTGCGTTTTTTGTTGGATAATTGACTCTCTTAGATTAAAAAATTACCCTCTTAGGAAGACGAATGGCTCTTTAGGGTGAACAAATCGATCTCTTGGATTATAATTAACTCTCTTGTACATTCTCCTACCCTCACTCTTATCCTTGGGTAGATAGATAATTGACTCTATCATGTGAACAAATTACCCCTTGCAGTAGATAAGTGACTCGTTTGGATATGGATTTAATTAATATGGATAATAATAATGGATAATATTGGATAATAATTAATTATTATTGTCGGTTAAAGCTGCTTTTTATGTAATTTTTGTTTTTAATGTATTAATTAAATTACTATAAAATAACCTAGAAAATTATTGAATTCATAAATCTAGGGGTGTATTTGGAAAGCAACAAATAATAATAAAAAAATTGTTAAATAACTTGCAACGAAAGATGACCCCCGGAAGTAAAATTCCCATTTAAAAAATCGCGTCAACAGGATACCGAAATTCCTGGAAAACTCTGGAAAAAAGCACGAAAACACTAATTGGTTACCTCTCTCAAAAGGGGTGGAAAGCGTAGCCGGATGTTAAGAACACAAACATTAAACAGCACAAAGTTCCATTCACATATATCTCTGCTCCGGTGTCCCATTATATTCAGGAGCTTTGAATTAAGATAGACGTCACTGGCGTGACAGCAGTCCTGCTGCAAGAGGGCGTTGTAATGTTAATGCTATGAAATATAGATAACATTTCGGTAAAATATGAACGCCAAGTGCGAAATTGCGCTGCGATAAAGGCTCTGTTTCCCGCAAACTTAAACAAAAGAATATTTAGGTAAAAATTTGTGCGACATGCAGGGATCCTGCAACGGGGTTGTAGCAGGAAATTGCCCGTTAAATTCGCATGAAAATAAAATTTGTAAACGAATAATTAATATAGGTAATGGAGTTTCATCGACATCTTATTCTTTGTGAAGAAAATTGCAGTAAAATGGTGAAAAATTCGATTTGAAATTGACAGTTCGCATAAGTCCAGAGCGGAGAAGAAAAAAGGAATTTTTATATTCAGTATTAGTAGGTAATAACAACTTAGGTAGAACTTTATATCGATCATTAATTAATCAGTTCGTATCATACATTCGGAACGTCGACGTAAAATAGGGAAGCCCTTCCCGAACTTCGGCTCGTAAACGTAAAAAAGCTTTGCAAAATTCAAACATACATAACGAACTCCCGAAAGGCCGTTTTAACCCGTCACGTTTCCCTTCTGCGCCTATGACAGAGACATTAAAACTTCAGTGTTTCGTTGCCGTTGCCTCCCTCTTGCCACTTCAGAAACTGAAATATTTTCTCGGAAAGTAACAAGTTGTTTTTGTTTTCAGGCGAGCGCATCTGCGAAACTGCTTAGAAAAACTTAAAGATATAGTACCTCTGGGACCCGAGGCATCTAGGCATACGACGTTAGGACTATTAACAAAAGCAAAGAGGTTTATAAAAGTAAGTACGAGAATGTTTGTTATTGAAAACTGGAGGTGCATTTCGTAGGGAATTGCCTACATATACATACATAGTAGTACAGCAGAAGAGAATGTATTATTATTTATATCAAAGTTATTTTTGTTTACTCCGGTTTTATTACAAAAAATTAATCGTACTTACATCAATCACGCAAACTATATCGCATCGAGTTTTTCCGAGAGAGCGCTTACTTACATGAAAACTGTTTTTTAAGACCTAATTCTACTTCGTCGTTGCAGTTTCGTATGTGCGGAGTAGTTGTTGTTTTGTATTGTTTCATTTCTTATATTCGTTTATTCGAGACGAAATCCCGGAGAGAAGATAGATCGGCTGTCGGCCTTTTTACATAATGCTATCCGAAAACTTTTCGCAATTCCCAAAATTGATGGAAGACTTTGTACCGTGTCTTATTTGCGAGTACAATAGAAGCAATGCGGTTATTGGATAAATTAGCGAATTTTTATCTGACAGAATCTTCTTCTTTCTTTACAATTTTCAATACTTCGAAAATTCTATAAGCCTTTTAGGCGTGATTTAATTTCCATGAGCGCGTAAAAATTTAAAAACATGTTCACTTTTAATTTTTTTCAACAAATTTTCTCTAAATCAATTTTCTTTAAGTAATGTTTAACGATCAACACATCAATATAATATTAATCAGTCAGTGACCTTGATAATTTTTTATATTATATAACTTATTATATTCAACTTCAAGTTCAAAAAGAGTCCTTAAACCCGTTTTAAAGTAATGCTTTATCAAAGATATCATTTATAAATCCACGAATTTTCCTAAAGAAATTTATAATTTATTATTCATAAAATCCTACCTTCTATAAGCAGAGGTCCTCTAAGCATTAAGTAACATCAAAATGTTTTCGCTGATGTAATTAAATTAATTAGCAATTACAAAATACGTTGGGGATTTCGCAAAATAAAAAAGAACCGCCGCCTTTAAAATATGAAGTTTTCGCTCGAAATAATGACCCAGATGTATTAGTCATTAAGTTTTGGAGAGATGCTTTTAGAAAATGTCTAAAGTAAGCAAACTCCGTTCGCGTGTTGAAGATGACAGGTTGTTTGATCAACAGTTTTCCGAGTTAAAGGGAACTTTTCATGGCGAAATTAAATGCGGAGGGCACAAATCTTGAAAGTCCTCTCTTCCCGTTCGAATTATGTATGTCAAGAGGCTCGACATGTACAAAAGACGCGAAAGAAATAGAAATCAAGAGCCAAAGGTTTTAATTACGTCAAAGAGTCGAGTGGATGTTTAGTAAAGCACCTAAGGTGCTTGTTTTATTTCAAATTCCCGTAATTTAAAAATTTATGTAGGCGTATATAAATTCAGAAACGATTATTGTTAATATTGTAAAGCATTAGTAAATAATTTTCAAGAACTTTACCACGATATTTGATATAAAATATCCCTCCACCGTTCGATGGTAGAAGAGAAGGAAGCTTCATCAAAAGACATTGGTAATTGATATATTTCTTTTAGAGACAAAATCGGCATTTGAGTTGCACAATAGTGGCATTTCCATCGATCAGTATCTCGAACAGAGTCGGTGAGGCCTTTTTGTTAAAGGGGCGCGGGAACGATAAGATAATCGTACTGCTGAAGGAAAAGGAGCCGGGGGGGACGGGCAGGGCGTCGCTATCGATTCATGAAAGATATTTAGTCATTGTCGTCGACAGTGTGGCGCTCTAAACAATCTAATTATCAACGCGAAACCGTCGTGCATCTTTGTTAAGCGAGTTAAAACGCGCCAACAATGAATAATGGTCTACGTCCCAACAACCGGCTAATCATTCATTAACAATCGCTTTTTGCCAGTCGGTCGTTTAATCCGACAGCCGATACTATTTTATTTTTTTAGCGAATGATTACTTACACAACGCAATTTTATAAATTAAGATGCGGGACAATTAATAAAACCTATGAAAGGGCTATAAAAAAGTACTTTTATCCGCCTCACTGCAGTTTTTTATAGACTCGGAATCAACTAAAATGGTAGACGTGATTTCAGGATATTCTAATTTAACTGTATGTAAATTACCGAAGTCATTAAGTCCTGTTTTGCGTAATTAAGAGCGTTTTATGCAGAGCAAAACCGAATGCTAGGTTGCATTACAGCTACTATTTGAAGTGCGAAAGTTACATCGGAAATATGGGCCTACATTTTGGAAATCCAACTGCTGTTAGACCGGCTTTATGGCGGCGTATATCTAGCATAACGATTTTTTACTTTATCTCCACTCGCTGGTAACGGACGTGTATTATAACAGCGGTATTCATTATCATTCCGTGGAACGCGCCTTGAATACTAATGGAAAGGCTCCGCTGATAATTGTCAGTGTATATTAGGGAGGAAGTTGAGCATATGGGTCAGTAGAGTTGGTCGACGTTTAGAACTGGACTTGGACGTAATTTGGTGGAAATTGCCAAGTTGCAGTGTTACTGGAACGAATTGAAGAGAGCTCGATTACCGACCAGAACATTCATTAATTGGACCATATAGTAAAGTGTTTTCGTTCACGAAAGTAAAGTTTCAGCCTACTGACTAACTCACTGATACACAACTGAGTTCATGAATGTATGCTCAAGTTATCGATATAGTCATATCTTTATTTCTAATATTACTTTCTTTCTACTTGATGATAGACAATTTCATCATCTTCAACTTAAAACAGAATCAATAATAACCTTACCAGGCCACTTTCACAATCTTCCTTTTGAATTTAATCTTTTGAATTTAATTTTATATGTCCTAGCTAATATTATATCTTTAAGGCATTTGACGTTTTTTTATTCGTTTAATACACTTTATCAAATCTCTGCGATTTGTTTTTCTTACTTCTTACGTTATTTTTTACGAAATCTTTGACGAGTAAAGAACTTTTCCGAAATCAAAGGAACTTCTAAATGTTTTCTTAATAACTCGATCCTTGTTAGACGTAAAAAAGTCGTCTTTGTATTCCTGAATGAAGCAGCGGCCCTTGGTCGAGGTTTCCTTTTTATGACTTCCAACTTTCGTAATATTAATAAAAAAAACCTTTTGTTTTTATGCGGCCGTAAAGTACACAAAACGCTTACATAAATCCTTATTATAGACACTGGAGTTTCCCAACCGTCTGTATATCATGCGGCTTTTTTGATATCGTGTTTATCTTCCGTGATTTTCTCCAACTTGAAGCTCGATTATAAGCTGTGTTAAAAATTAACAAATGTAGTTACTTTGTAGAAGTAAACATCATTCTTGAAGCACAATTTTCAATTTATAAGATTCCTACTGCAATTTTTACTACCACATTTTATTTGATTGATAATCGGCAAATAACGCATTTCGTGCTCCATGCAAGTATTCACGAACATTACTCTTTTAGAGGAATGTACTTTATCATTGTACATATTTCCGAATTTATGGGAGTTCTAGTTACATAACAGATTGTAAAATTCATAAATATAAATATAAAAGTTGACTTCAACTAGTAACATCGTTCATGATTCGCGATTTATAAAATCTTATTTTCCTTTTAGTGCTTCATCAATCTACCGACTAGAGTAGAGCCGAATTCAATGTAAAGTAAATCGATGCAAGCCCAAACTAACGTCAATAAAGCGACTGACTCATCGAAAGGTTCTCGTTTCAGTTGAAAATCCTTTCTCCAACAAACGAAAACAGGCCGTTTGTTTTAATCAAAGTCATTGCAATGAAATTCCACTAGTGAACATGCGATACCGATGGTTGGCCCATAAATTAGTTTCTTTGATGAATATCGCGAAATGTGTTTTTAGTTTACAGTTGAAACGGCAAAGTGCAATTATTTGTTTCTTCATGCCCCCTTTTTTTGCATCAAAAGGTTCGTCTTTTCGCTCTGAAAGCAAAAAGGTAATGAACGGATGGATCTTCATTAAAACAATGGGTGTTCGTATTTCATTTCATTAAAACGCGTTATCGCTTGTTAAATCTACTATACGAGATAACAGCAACAGTGAATTCCGAAAATGATAGATTAACATAATGTTACAACTAACAGAAAAATATGTGAAAGAAAAATGCGGCACGAAAAGAAATAATTAAGTTATTTTCATTTGCCGGGAAATTCGATGGATTTTATAAAAATATACTATCTTCACTTCTTTAATACAGTTGGTGCAAAACAAATATCAGTGAATGTCACTACTGTCTTCACACTTGCCAAGCATTGTGCCCAACTTTTAAAAATCAATACACAAAATAAATTAAGCTTAATAAGTGCAGAATTTAATTTAATATAAACAAAGTCGATAGAAAATGTTAAAAATCAAAATTAAATCATCAAAAAAATATATATTGTCAAAATTCAACGTTTATGTATAACATTGTTATTATTTTCTGATAGTAGGTTGGTAGGCACTGACTGTCAAGTTGTATAGTTGCCGTTGTCATCCAATCGGTATTTTTTTTTTCAATTTCTTCTTCCTTTTTTTAGTTTACTAGCCTTAACTACTAAAGGCTATTTAGCCAAATAAACAAGAAATAAGAATTTTTTGCAAAGTTATCTTTTCCACATTTTAGAAATGACACAATTTGAGCTCTAAATAATTCAGATTCAGAAGTTTTCGCAGAAATTTCACTATGTACTCTTTTAAGGGTCAATTGTACACTATTTTTTTACTCTCACTGTTTAATATATTTCGGATGATAAACGAATTTAATGATTAATTATAGTGACCTCCTGAATACGTCCGCCGTTTAGAAACGTGAAACAGGTACCCCTAATTTTCAATTTGTTCTTGTCATTTGGCCATTTAACAATTTTAGAAAATTCTTAGATTTTGTAAACTCTATAATAGTTCGGCATCACTGCCTACTTGTGACGTAGTAAATTTTAAGTGACGTGGATTGATACTTGTTTTGCACCAATTGTATGTAAAATTAACCACTTTTACCTGGAACTTAATAAATAACATCAGAAACATAATAATAAAGTTAGAATGA